CTCCTCCGCCTCCTCCTGCTACTGGTCCTTGTCCTCCTCCTCCGTTTCCTCCTCCTCCGCCTCCTCCTCCTCCGCCTCCTCCTGCAGGCTGCTCCTCGTCCTGCTCAATTTCGTCCCCCTCGTCCTCCTCCGCCGCCCACCTCCTCCCACTGATTCCCCTCCTACTCCCCCTCCTCCTCCCCCTTCTCCCCCTCATGCCCCCCCTCCCTCTCCCCATCCTCTTCCCTCCTCCCCTTCCTCCCCCTCCTCACATCCTCCCCCTCTTCCATCCTCCCCCTCCTCCCCTCCCGCGGATCAACTTAGGCAGAAACCGTGAGAAACAATGTCAAACCATATCGGGACCGCTGGGAAACCCACGGACAGTGTAAGCAATAATCTACACGAGCCTGGATAATCCATACAAATGCAGTAGATTAGCCAACGGATGCATACGCGCCTGCGTCGTGAGTGGCACAGGAGCAGACGATGAACATAGAGACGGTCGTCGAAGACAGAAACGACGAGATCGAACAAATGGACGATCGAACGAAGACTATATCGAACGAGAATACGATCTGGCGAAGAACACGTCGCGATGACTTGGCCAGCGATAGAAGGGCGAAACACCGACACCGCTGCCCCTCCTCATCCGCCTCATTCGGACTTCCTCGCTCTCTTAGCAGGCAGGCCCTTCACCACTCTACAACAGAACAGACGCAAGGGACCGCGAGAGTGAGTCCAACTGCCAGGAGCAGATAACTGATCGCGAAAAAAGACAGTACACCAACGTACCCGAACAGACATCTGGATCGCTTGAAAGGAGGAGCACGCGCTACAGCTACATAGACCAACACTGTGTGAGCTCCGAAGGTTGATGCTTATGGGGGTGCTTTTCTTATGCTTCTTAGAACTCGTTCGTGCCCGAGGGGTCTTACTCGACTGCGAAAGTGATCCTGACGTGACCTCTCGTCGGCCGCAGGGCAACCCCGAGATGCTGCAGACTGGACTGGAATGCTCTGGGCTGTGCCTGGGTATACGAGGCTGTGCCAGACCGTGCGAATGTTGTCCGATGCTTGGCTTTTCGGTATCATACCGTGTTTTCAGATTTACGACGATGAGCTACATAATTGTTGCCCAGTGCTCGCATCTGCAATGTTGTGCGATGCCACGCCACGCAGTGCTATCATTCAAAATGCCACGGCATGCGACGCGATCAGTTGCCGTACAATGATACACCACCTTGCGATAATGCGGTATGCTATGCGGCGCCTCGCATTCGGCAACAAGAAATACGCTATCCTCACTGAGGTCGTGCGTGACTCCTGAAGCTCCGCCAGCTGCGGAGCGAGGCCGCTGGAGGGCAAACACCATTTCCAACGACGCCTTTGATAGGCTTCGCATCGTGCCTCATCCGTGCCTCCCAGCGCGCCTTATGCGTGTAGCGGGAGAAGGAGTACTGCGAAACGGGCTCACCATCCGGAGCAATCAGCCTCACGTGCAGGGGAGAGGTGGCGGAAAGGAGGAGGAACATGGCGGCGTAGGGACCATTCAGGAGACCGCGGGGGACAAGAAATCTTCTATGAGGACGTTGCGGAGGAGATCAGAAGAACGGAAGACGGACGAGGTGGATCAATATGGGCCACAAACGCACGAGAGCCCACACCATGCGACAGAGTCGGCAGGGCACGCGTGCCGAACCGAGAAGCAATCGACCTGGACGGGAACATATCCCTGCTGCTTCTCCCGCTCGTTCTGCCCCCCCAGAGCAACAGCAACAAGCTAAACATCCACTCTCGGAGGTCCGCGCAGAAGTTCGGGCTTGCGCAGGACACTTTGGCGGCGCCAGAGGCGCCTGCCCGGGGGGGCCGGGGGGGCAGCGCCGACGTAAGTGCGCCGCTTCCCCATTATGTACGCGTCCCCCGGAGGGACGCCTGCTGAGGCCAGCCGGGACTACGCCGGGGGTGCTGGGACCGCCCTGGACTAATTACTCGGGGGGTCCGTCGAGGCCGGCCGGGACTGCGCCAGGGGTGCTGGGAGCCCTGGGCTACTCGGGGGGTCCGTTGAGGCCGGCCGGGACTACGCTGGGGCTGCCGGGACCGCCCTGGACTGCTCGGGGGGTCCGCTGAGGCCGGCCGGGGCTGCCTGGGGCTGCCGCGACCGCCCCAAGTACTGCTCGGGGGGCCTGCCGAGGTCGGCCGGGACCACTCGGGGGGGGCCTGCCGAGGCCAGCCGCGGGAGGCGCCCGCGGAGGCCAGCCAGGACCACGCTGGGGGTGCGGAGGCCGCCCCGGACCACCCAGGGGGGCTGTGGAGGCCGGCCGGGACTCCTCGCGGGACCTGCTGAGGCCAGCCGGAGCTACCGAGTGGGGCCTGCGGAGGCCGGCGCTGGGGCCATCCCGGGGGGGCCTCCGCGCGCCACCCGGAGCCTCACCGAAGAAGCGGCGCAGAGGGCGCGGGCCGGCAGAGGCGACGCCCGCACCTCAGGGGTGCGCCCGAGCTCGAGGGGCGCCCAAGAATAGAGGAAGAAGAAGCAAGGGCGCCAGAAGTCTTGATGATTAGGGCTGAGGAGAAGAAGAAGAAGAAGAAGAGGAAAAGGCGCCAGAAGTTTAGATGATCAGGGCTGAGGAGAACAACTAGCGCGATGGGAGGAAGGGGCCAGGAGGACGAAGGGCATGAGCAAGAGCATCCGGATGCAGGGAACGAGACCTTCGGCCGCCCACTGGTGAGACGATCCCTTTTCTCCGCCACCCGTCCTCCCAACCCGATACCTGTCTTCCTGGATTGCCTTGCTTGCTCTTCGAAAGAGGGGGGGGCTCCAAGAGCGGGGGGGGGCGCAGGCCACGGCCCGCGGCACGCGCGCGGACGAAGAGGCGCCATGGCATGTGGGAAGACATCACGGCCCCGGCCAGGAGCTCCAGCCGGCACTCGCCATCACCTGATCATGAGATCACAGGGGAGGACTGATGGGCATGTGTTCCACCAGCGCCGCCATAAGTTGGAGGGGGAGGGGGGCCTCCCCCTCCTTCTCCTCCACCTCCCCCTCCTCTTCTCATCCTGCTCCTCCTCCTCCTCCTCCTCCTCCTCCTCGTCTTCTTCCTCCTCCTCATCCTCCACCTCCTTCCCCCCTCCAACTCATGGTGGTGGTGGTGGAAAACCGGCCAATCAAGGGCCCTACTGAAACGTCCAACTTGGTTTCCATGGGATCTCATCTTAGGTGGCCAGGGCGCCAGAGCAACTGGGACCGGACGGCAGGCGCTCAGTCTGCAGATGTTCCCGCGTCTTTTCGTTCGTCGCCTTCGCTTGCTCACCAGGACGTTTCGCCGGGCACCGCGGAGCGTCGGAGAGTCATCTATGCCCGCCCCAGGCTCGGCGGCGAGCGAGGGGGGGTGGTGAGAAGGGGCGTGCCGTCTCAGAAGGCTCGGAAGTCCCCAAGCCTCCTGAGAAGTGCACAAAGCCACTCCCCGAAGACGCAGCAAACCTCTCAGAAGGCACGCTGGCTTCTGACAAGTCCCGCCGCCTTCTGAGAAGGTCTCCTCCTCTTCACTTCCCCCCCTCGCTCGCCGCCGACAGACGGGCGCGATGTTCCGGCCGCCGCGAGCCGCCCGCCAGGGCCTGAACACCGCCGCGTAGTCGGACCTCACACCCTCCAGGTCGACCTCTGGCCTGCGGCCCGCCACATGGGGGAGGGGGGGATTCTGCGGCGACGGCGACGACGGCGGCAGCGACGGCGCCGGCATCGGCGGCGACGGCGACGGCGACGGCGGCGAGCGACGGCGACGACGAGCGAGCGGCGGCGGCGTCGGCGAGTCGGCGTCGTCGTCGGCGGCGGCGGCGGCAGCGGCAGTCGGCGGCAGCAGCGGCAGCGACGGCAGCGGCAGCGACGGCAGCGGCATGGACGGCGGCGGCGCCGCCGTCGCCTCGGAGGTCTTCGTCGCCCGCGGGCGGGCGGTGCCCGACGACTAGACTGCCGGGGCGCCCCTTGGGCCAAGGTGCCCCCAGCTTCTCGCACCATTTTGGAACCCCTGGGGCCTCCTGGGGCTCGTGGGAGGTCCTCTGGAGGCCGTGAGGGCCTGCTTGGACATCCTGGGGGCACCTTGGGCCAGGGGGCACTTCTGGCAGCACCCGAACGGTCCTCTCCGCTCGCTCGCGCTGCCGCCGTGAGCAGGGTGCTGCGGGAATGAGATGCTCGATGCGGGGACATTCGCGGAGCCGCTTGCTTCACTCATGCGTCGATGCCGCGTGGAACACCAACCGCCCTGAGTCGAACTTGAGTCGAACCCGAGTCGACCTTGACTTCAGCTGGAGTCGAGCCAGAGTCGGACCGGAGTCGAGCCAGAGTCGAACAGAGTCGCGAGGTGGCCCCCAGGATGGCCCCCCCAAGCGAACCCCTAACAGGGGGGGGGGAGGCGTCGGCGGCAGGAGCGCGCAGGGCGCATTCCTGTTCCACTCGACGAGAACACCAGGGCGCTGAGTAGGCACGGACAGCCAACAACCCTAATAAGGACGCGCGGTGAGGACGCAAGACCCTTGGAAGCCGAAGTTGGGATTTCTGGGGCGGCGGACGACGAAAACCCCAAGGACGCAAGAGCAAGGAAGAGCAAGGACGCAAGGGTACCCTGAGCAAAGTCGCGCGTCCTTATTGGGGTGTTTGACTGCACACCTGTCCTGACCGGGGCAACCCTGCAACCAAGATCGGTGCATGCGCCTTCCTGGCCATGGCAGGAGGGCGTACGTACACACCGATCCCCGGCCCAGCATCGGCCTGGCCAAGATCGGTGTTTGAGTAAAGCTGGCGCCATCCGAAAGATGGGGCCGAACACCGATCAAGCTGTTGCTGCCTGGCGTAGCTGGCACGTTCCGAGGCCCGCGGATGTGAGAGACGGGAGGGGGGGATCGGAGGCCCCGGAGGCAGGAGGGGGGGGGGAGGAGGAGGACAGAGGACTCTCAGCGCCCCCTGTCTGCTCTGCGTGGCCTCTGGAGGCCTCCAGAGGCCTCTCGACCTCCAGAGCCTCCGGAGACTTCTGGGGGACCTGGAGATCTCCTGGGATCTCCGGAGACCTCGGGAGGACGAGGAGGCGGAGGGGAGGGATGGCGTGAGAGCTCTAAGAGCCTCGATCGGAGAACGGGGGTTCCGACTGCAAGGGGTCTATGGAGCGTCCTTGAAGAGAGGGCGACTCAACACCAGTCCCCAGGCCCCAATCGGGCAGCTTCCTGATCCGTCTTCCAAAACGCGTCGAGCCGTGACGACCGAGAAGGAGAGGGGGGGGGGAAGGGGCCACCGAGGGCGCGTTCTGCGACCGAGGACGCCTCAATGAGGGGGAAAACCTGGGGGGCTGCAGCGGCGGCGGAAAAAAGCGGCAGCATGGGGAGTGGGGAGGAGGAGGAGGAGGAGGAGGAGGAGGAGGAGGAGGAGGAGGAGGAGGAGGAGGAGGAAAAGGCGTGGGAAGAAGGAGGAAGATGGTTCCCCCCTTCTCCTTCCTCCTTACCTCTTTCAACATGGAGCTGTCGCCTGAGACTTCCCCGAAGTGCACTGCATGACCACAAGTTTAAACCTGTACAACAGTTTCACGGATGAGGGGGGCTTCTTCGAAAGGGGAATCCCTCTGACCACATCGCTGAAATGTCTATTATCATAGTTTTCGCGTTCCTGAGTACGCGCCAGAAGAATCTGAGGCGAATCATTTTCAAAGCGGGCCCCTCGCCAAAATGTACGGCTCAACCGTGCCAGTCTTCCAAAGGGGGGAGCTCATTGTCAAGGAAAGGATGCAGTGGAGGCCAGTCCAATAGAAACCTTCCACAAGAAACCCAACCCTGAGACCCAAAGACGTACAGTGATTTTTGGCGCGGGAACGTCACGCTTCCCATCGCAAAAAACATCGAAAACGAAGAAGCCCAGGGCATCCTGGAGGCGAGTACTAGTAGGGTGTTTCTTGGCATGGGTCTCCACTGTAGGGATGCGTGAGAAGGGGATATGGGACCGGAGGGTGTATTGCCGCATCGCTGATGCATCTTGGGTTCGCTCTGGTCCTCCGCCTCCCTCCTCCAGCTCTGGAGGACGAGGAGGAGGAAGAGGAGGAGGACGGAGGAAAAGGAGGATGGAGGATGGAGAAGGAGGAGGAAAAGGAGGAGGAGGAGGAGGAAGAAGAGGAGGAGGAGTGCCTCCGCCTCTTCGTCCTCCTCCTCCTCGTCCTCCTCCTCCTCCTCCTGCTCTCCGTTACTCCTCCTCACCCTCCTTCTCTTCACTCCTGCTCCTCCTCCTCCGCCTACTCCTCCTGGCTCGTCGTCGTCCTCCTCCTCCCCGTCCTGCTGCCCCTCCTCCTCCTCCCCAGACGGCATGGCGACGGCGCGGCCCGTGGTGCAGGTAGGCGATCTGCTCGTTGAGCTGGATCAGCTCGGCCTCTCGGCCGCCGCTCTCCCCGCCCACCCCCCCACCCCCGCGCTGGGCCTCCCTCGCCGTCGTCGTCGTCGTCGTCGTCGTCGTCGTCGTCGTCGTCGTCGTGGTCGTCGTCGTCGTCGTCGTCGTCGTCGTCGTCGTCGTCGTCGTCGTCGTCGTCGTCGTCGTCGTCGTCGTCGTCTCTCTCCGCCTGATTACTCTTCCATATCCTCCTCGATCCTCCGCAATCGTCCTCCTCCCCCTCCACCTCCTCCTCCTCCTTCTCCTGCGCCTCCCCCTCCTCCGGCATTTCTTTTCCTCAGCCACTCCTTTTCAAATGGTGGCTCTCGCCGTAGCGCTGCGCACATTCGCTTAACAAGAACACCAAAACAGTTGTGCAGGTTCTTATGACCAGGACTGGCGTTTTCGAACGATTCAGGATTGCCAGGGCGCAACAGTTACGTTGACTCGCGGTGCAGCAGTCCCAGGAATGGTATTCTAGCACGGTTCAGGATCGTCAAGACGCAACAGTCAGGTTGATTCGTGGCGTTGAAGACCTGAGAACGGTGTTTGGTGCGCTTCTGGATTTTCACACGGTTGTCTCCCAGCGGGGCATTTCCATAAGTGGAAATGAATCCGTGTAGGGTTCTATGAAGAGGAAGCTTGGAGGGAGGGTGCCTTCCAACATCGTTGATGAGACTTGGGTTTGTACTTGTCCTCCTCCTCCTCCTCCTTCTCCTCATCCTCCTCATCCTCCTCCTCCTCATCATCAGCAGCATCATCAGCATCATCATCTGAATCATCAGCATCAGCATCCAGCATGCATGTATCGTCCTCCACTTGGTTGTCCTGCGTCCGAACCAGCTCGTCATTATTTCCCTCCCCCCTCCAATTGAGTTACCCACATCAGAATGTCAATTGGGTCGCGGGCTCAAGGGACACACCAGAGGAGAACGGCACTGCAAAAACGAAGGGAGATATCAAAGATAGCTACGGGTGGACCTCGTCTTCGTGGCGCCTCGCTCTCATACGCTTGCGCTCCTCACAAATCACTCCACTGGTGGGACTAGTGGACTGGGAAGGACACGATGCCAAATGCATGACACGGCGTCGGAGGCGGCCGGAGGTCGGAGCTGGTTGGGACCGCAGAGAATCGGTCCTGAGAGGGATAACCCCAAATCCGATCAGAATCGGTACCGGTACCCCTCTCGGGGTCCACCTGACGCGGATTCCCCCCCCCCGGATCCGTTCCTACCCTAAACCCTAAATTTCTAATCTTATAATGATTAAACCCTGACTACTACAAAACCGGCCGTTATGCAAACCGGCTTCATCTACTACAACAAAAATAGCATTTGCTGAGCATGCGTTCAGAATCTCTTGTAATTTACACTACAAAGTGCCCGGCCCCCGTTGCGACCCGGCTCCATCTACTGGAAAAAAAGCATGTGCTGCACATGCGTGCAGAAACTCTTGTATTTTACAAGACAAAGTGCCCGACCCCCGTTGCGACCCCGCTCCATCTAGCGCAAAAAATAGCATTTGCTGAGCATGGGTGCGGAATCTCTTGTATTTTACAATACAAAGTGCCCGGTCCCCGCTGCGACCCCGTTATGCCCACCGGCTCCATCTACTGCACAAAAATAGCACTTGCTGCGCATGCGTGCAGAATCTCTGGGATTTAACAATACAAAGTGCCCGGCCCCCATTGCGAGCCGATCCATCTATTCCCAAATAAAAAATTGCTGCGCATGCGTGCAGAATCTCTTTCGCCCGACCCGACCCGTCCCGGCCGTTTTGCCTGCCCGACTCGTCCCGTCCGTTAGGGTACTCGCGTGCCAACACCCCACCCGATCCGACGCGCTCGTTAGGGCCCGTCTGCCCGACCCGTTTCGCTTGTATGGGGCACACGGGTGTTGAAGTTTAACAGTTCTCTCGGGTGTGTCTCGCTTGTCTGTCTGTCTACCTCCCCACTCATATCCGCCTCATCATTTGTCATTATATGTTCTTCTTGTCAATGCTGTTCTGTGCACATGTTCTGGCAGAGGGAGCGGTCAAACCTATGATGTTCGTTCAGCCATTTTTGGTTCAGCAGGAGCTATCGTGTGTTCATAACCGATCCTCGTCCTCTGCAGTTGGTTATATAGAGCATCCTTTGCATATTTGATGTGGCACTCTCGCACGTTCTATTGTTGTATGCCCTGTGTATATTATTCATTTGTGCTCGCCGCGATTGCAGACATTTACCTCACTTGGTCTCTCTGCTATGTCCCGTCTTTGTCCTCAACAGTGGTTGCACTTTCGCTGGCGTTAGTGTGGTATATTTTCATCCTGTTGCTTCCTTGCGGCATCCCCGCGCCGCACGGCGGTTTGTCCGGGGTCCACGCGTATGATTGGATACCATACTCCGGCTTTATATTGTTCTGGTGTGGGTGGGGTAGGGGTCTGTTCTATAGCATGGCATGTCACAGCATGGGATCCCAAAAAGTGCGGACCCCTATGTGCGCGTTGCCTTTTACTTCTGCTTGCCCTAGGTTTGTCCCGCCACTGTGCTATAGCATGGCATAGCACAGCATGGGCCCCCAAAAAGTGGGGACCCCCATGTGCGCGTTGCCTTTTACTTCTGCTTGCCCTATGCCTATCCCGCCACTGTGCTATAGCATGGCGTAGCACAGCATGGGTCCCCCAAAAATGGGGACCCCTATGTGCGTGTTGTCTTTTACTGTTACTTGCTCTAGGCGTATCCCGCCACTGTGCTGTAGCATGGCATAGCTCAGCATGGGTCCCCAAAAAGTGGGGAGTCCTATGTGTTCTTTTATTGTGTTTTTCCTAGACCTATCCCGCCACTGTGCTATAGCATGGCATAGCACAGCATGGGTCCCCAAAAAGTGGGGCCCCCCTTGTGCGCGTTGTCTGGTACTGTTACTTGCCCCAGGCCTACACCGCCACTGTGCTGTGGCATGGCATAGCATAGCATGGGTCTTCAAAAAGTTGGGACCTCTATGTGCGCGTCGTCTTTCACTGTTACTGGCCCTGGGCCTATTCCGGCACTGTGCTATAGCATGGCATAGCAAAGCACGTGTCCCCCAAAAGTGGGGAGCCCTACGTGCGCGTCGTCTCTTCACTGTTACTTGCCCTAGGCCTATCCCGCCACTGTGGTACAGCATGGCATAGCACAGCATGGGCCCCCAAAAAGAGGTATTCGCCGATGCAGCCTTTTCGGATCGACAGTTCGGGCAGAGATTCTCGTTCTATAAAGCGTTCCGAGGATGTCCCAGCCCGCGAATCTCATGCCGCGCTGGGTTCCCATGGCGAACGTTGACTCGTCCGCTATGCTCATCGCGCTCATCCCATGGTACCGGCGGCAGAGCCCCCCGGGTCGCATATTCTATGCCATGGGCATGCACCTGATCATGGCGCAGGTCTGGCATGGAGCCATTGGCTCGGTCACCGACTCCGAATGGATCGAGGATCACTATATTCCTCGTCAGCGCGTGCTTTGTGATGGTATACTTTGCAGGCGTTGCCGATCTCATGGGGGCAATTCTATTCTCCCAAATGGTTACACCTTACGCTGGTTCAGCCCTCTGTGGGAGTCGCTGTACATGAGCCTCAGGAACCCACTTCTGTACGATGATCCTGCCGCGGGCGCCGACTATCGTCGCGGCGTTGCGCGGGACCAGAATGGGCATTGCCTGGTTCCGCGTAACAGGTGGGCCCACACCGCCGCTATCATGGGCATCGAACCACCTGATGTATTGGACTATGCTCTGGACCTTACGTTGGACATTGCATTGGACCATGCCTTGAATCACGCCACGAACTACGCGTTGGAAGTAGCCGTGGGTCCTCTCTTTGAAGAGGCGGACGCTGGCGACCCGTAGGCCTGATCCGTCCAGCGGATGAGCAGTCACGGCTGTTTCCTGCCACGCAGTTCCGCTTGCGTGTGTCGCAGAGAAGGTGCTGCTTCTATGCCTCGCCTTCGTGTTCGTGGTTGTACTTTCACGAGTCATGTTACGTGCTAGGGTATTGCAAGACAGATTTATCCCTAGCAAGCGGGGCCTGACTATCCCTGATCGTAAGTGTCAGGGTCGCGATCTGCGCATGCTGAGACCTTCTCTGTGCGGGTATGTATTCGCGTGGCCTGGGAACTATGGAAACAAAAAAGGGCCCCAGACTCTGTACTGAAGCGTGTCTTAACCATCCAATGTGTTCTGAGTGTCCCGACTGAACTTGCCACACTGTGCCTATCCAGTCGCGCTGTTCGTTATGCATTGGGTTGTCTTTCGGGGTTTCGTCTACGACTGGATTCGGGCTACCAACCAGGGGCGCTATCCCGCCACCGCGCTATAGCATGGCATAGCACCGCATGGGCCCCCACAAAGTGGGGACCCTTATGTGCGCGTTGCCTTTTACCTCTACTTGCCCCATGCCTTTCCCGCCACCGTGCTATGGCATGGCATAGCTCGGCATGGGTTCCCCAAAAGGTGGGGACTCCTATGTGCGCGTTGTCTTTTACCCCTTCCTATCCCAGGCCTGTCCCGCCACCGGATTATAGCATGGCATAGCACATCATGGGTCCCCAAAAGTACGGTTCTCCCGCCGCACCCGACCCCGTCCGGTGGGTCCGCCTGCCCGACTCTTCCCGCCCGTTAGAGCACTCGCGTGCCAACTGGATCGCACATCAGTCGTCGCCGTCGTCGTCGTCGTCGACGTTGTATTCGATGTGGTTATAACGAGGGGAGAGATGATCTTTATGGTGGGGTGGCTTGCGGGCGGGAGTGACGGCCACCGCAGGTGGGTTCGCGGTCAAGGTGTAATCGTGGCCAAGCCTGGTAGACCTTAAATTTCTAATCCTATAATTATTAAACCCTGAACAACCTAAAACCGGTCACCATGCAAATCCGTTCCATCTACTGAGCATGCGTGCAGAATCTCTAATATTTTACACTACAACGTGCCCGGGGCCCGTTGCGACCCGGCCCCATCTACTGCAACAAATAGCATTTGCTGAGCATGCGCGC